TTCTAAATATTTCATCCAAATCCGTCCAACCGATTGAAGAGAGGTCTTGCATGGTGTCGATTTTTTATTTCATAAAATTTCAAATCACCCTGTACCGATAAAAAAATTTTTAATTTCCAAGAAATAAAACCTTATTGCACACCTACAGGCCCAGTTCTTTAACCCGCTCTGTACAAAAAACCAGCCGCTGAAGCTACAAATCTGAAAATTTGTTTACCGGCTAATTTTGGGTCTTTCATATCAAAACTAAAATCGAAAATTGTAAAAAGCTATTACATTTACCGTTATTCAGCGCCCATTATGTTGGTCAGTGGTACTCTAGATTTGTAAACAATAATTTTTCTTTTTTTCTTTGCGAAATATATTTCAAAACTGAGAATGACATTTAACATTTTTATCGGATCTCAATTTCACCGAAAAATAGTTAATTTGTTCATATATATTACACTACTCAATATCGATTTTTGTGACACTTTTCACTTTTGTGAAAAAACACAGTACATTAAAAGAAATGCGGTAAATAAGAGTAATGCACTTTTCTCGAAACAACTGTTATTTAAAAACAAAAGCTTTTATTTAAGTAGAAAAGACCTTTGTGTACAAAAAAAGTTTGTCCAATATAAAGGACGATTGTACTGAAAGGGTTAATTTGATATTAAGTTTGTGCAATTTGAAATAACGGTGTAGACCTTTACAAGAAATGTATTCTCCCAGATTATATGTAATTTACATAAATAGATAGATTTTGCTTTTTAAATAGGTGGCAACCCTAACAAAATTTTTTGTTTAACTTAACTCTTTCGACTGACACTCATATTTTAATATTTCACTTACTTTGAGAGATTCGGCTTTCCAAAATCTCTTTCGTCTGCTATTGTGTTACATATTTCAATTAAGTGATTAATTAAGTTGAGCACAGAGCTGTTCTCTTTAACCCAGTTCAGAAAAAAATCTTTTTTTATTCATACCCATCTTTTGATGATTCATTTAACTTATTAAATAGTTTGCATTAACCTTTTTTACCAAGCAATGAGGCTCTTCATCACCTCGAAAAAATCTAAATGTTCACACTAAATATTTCTTTACTCCGTTTGTGTATACATAAGTTAACTAAACTCCATTTTTAAGACAGGTGGCAACCATTTTGAACGTATTTTTAAACTACTGCCTTCTTAAACCCCTTTCGTGGCACCCATATTGTGACGCATATTTCAAATTGAACTTGATTTCTTAAACAGTTGGCAACCCTCCTACATGTAGTTGAGAAATAAAGCCTTTTTTAAAACCATTTCGATTTATATCCATATTGTTATAATTGATATAACTTGTTTAAATTATTTAAATTTAATTCTTTAAAAGGTGGCAACCATTTTCGAAAAATTTAAACCATATTACACATTACTTACATATTTTCATGGTTATTGTTATCTTTATCTGCATATTTATCACTAGTTGAAATTTTGATCCCCATTTGCATAGTAACAAGGGTAGGTAGATACTGTAAGTATACAATCAGTACAAACATGGCGAGCGTTTAATTGTTAATGTCAACGATTTATGAAAAAAATATAAGCGATATAAATAAGTAGATACTTTTCTCAAAGCTTTATGTCAAATAAATTCATTTAGGATTAGATAATTGGGTGCTGCTGGTAAAAATTGTCTAACAATTTGAAATGCAGGACATACGAAAAAACAGTACAAATGTATTACATGTGCTCCTGTAGTACATACTTACATACATGCCCAAAGCCATACTCACACCGCAACAAGATTCACCATTGCCAATACAAAAAGAAAAACAACAAATACCAATAGGAGTATGTTAAAATCATCGATTTATGTACTACTGTCGCCTTGCTTCGACTCAATTACGTGGGTGGAGTTTTCCAATATCCATAAGCGCCATACTCACACACACGCACACATGCAGTACCGCGTCGGCGCCAACACCATCAACGCCAATGTGTAGGTGCTTAAATGTCAGCTTTCGTAAGTGTGTGGGTGAACTTTATGGAGGCGAATTTATGTATAACACATACATATATATGTAGATACGTGTGTATGCCGCAGCGCTTTTACCCAGCGAAGCGGACAAATGTTGCGTCCAATCAGAATCGAAGATTCATATAAGCAGTTTCCCCATTGTTGCCTCCTCATCCTGGCATGTTCACGCCATCGTGTCATATGGGAGAGTGTACACATCCTACATAAATGACACATGCGGGAGATGAAAAAAAAATAATATAGAAGAAACGAAGTGTGTAGCACATACGGCGAATATGTATGTATGTGAATCGGAGAAAAGAAAGGAAGAAAATCTTAAAAAAATGATGCAGAAAAGAAATAATAGCGTATGTCACAACACACACAGCAAGTGGGGAAGTGTGAAAATAGTACATACATATGTTGGAGAACTAGCACGGATATATGTACATAGTACATACATATTTATGCAACGGTATGCGAGGAGGAGTTGGACGGGTTTTTATGTGTCTGCCTTACAAGAATCTTACACATATGACCATATGAATGCATACAAAGGGCCTAGAGACTTCTACCTTGGCTTAAATTAATGGTCTTGAATAGCAATAAAACTCACTTGTTGTTCGAGGGATATAAAAGTGTGTGAAGGATGCACAACTGCATTCAAAATCTATAATATTAGTATAATAAAGAATGCAAAAATGTTTTTTTTTTAATATATCCGTTCGAGTTTGCATGTTTTTTTCGATGAACACTATTTTTGAAATTTTTTTTTAAGGTCAAGGAGTAACTGTGGCTCAATGGCAATATTTTTCCGTGAAAGGGAATTACATTAGTATTCGAAGTCATTTTATTTCATATCAAAATATTGCTTCTGTCGAAAGCGGTACAATTAATTCGCGTGAAGTGTTAAAAAGGCGTCGAGTTAGCTCGAATATCTTATTTTTCAGACGAGAAATTGTAATTTTGAAAATTTCAAATTACTACGGTGTTTTTTTCTCAAAAACATATGACTCAAAACATATGATTTATAAAAATATAATTCATTTAAAAACAATGAGGCGTATTCTGGTTTTCGTACGAATCAAAAATTTGAAATTTTTGAATACAAGATGATAGAAAAATTTCATGATTTTCGATTCGTACGAAAACAAGAATACGCCTCAATATATAATATAATAAAATAAAATGTCTATCATACTTGGGCGTACAAAATTTTTGATTCTTATCAAATAAGGTGTGATTGACAACTAAACAGGTGGCAACCCTACTAAACAAATATATACATATATAATTGCGCATCTGGAGGCCAAGCCATTTCATTTGGCACCTCATTTCTTGTAACCTAAAAGTGTGTTTGCATTGTTCAACTTTGCGTTCAACATTTGCGTTCAACTCAGCGCAGGGTTGCACGAAAAAAAGTTTAATGGCTAAAAATATCAAAATATTCGCCATAAAAAGGTGTTTGCATTGTTCAACTTTGCATTCAACTTTTGGTTGAACGGCCTTTCAACTAATCGCTTTCAACAAAGTTGGTCGCCAGCCAACATTTGGCCATTCAACTTTTTTTTCGTGCAACCCTGCGTTGAGTTGAACGCAAATGTTGGACGCAAAGGTGAACAATGCAAACACTGCTTAACGAACAGCCCACATAATTTTTCACACAGGTTGCAACCCCATTCTAAAAATAAAACCTTACTCCAAATCTGAAGGCCAAACCTTTTAATTTGACACCTCATTTTTCAAAGTGAATGAACTGTGCAAATCTAAAGTCATTAACAAAAATGCCCTCGCGTATTATACATAAATAATTTTTAAATAGATGGCAACCCTACTTAAACAAAAAATAAAAACTTATTTCACATGCAGAGACCATATTCTTTCACTTGGTACCTCGGTTTTTAGTCCGAAAAACGCTGAAGATCTTTTTATTTATAAAAAGTGGCAACCCTACTCAAAAAGTAATGCATTATTGAATATCTAGCCCTTTTGAACGCCGAGTCCTTTTATTTGACACCTCATTTCTTGTAATCCAACGAACAGTGCGGAACTTATAATATTTTAGACAGGTGGCAACCCTAAAGGAATTTAAATTACTAAGGATAATACTCCGATCGATTCAGATTATTCTTAAAAAATCTCGTCTAAATCCGTTCAGTAGTTTTTGAGATTAGCGTGTTCAAAGAATCTGGACTTTTAAACTACGTATAGAAGATAGTAATTTTTAAATAGGTGGCAACCCTACTCAAAAAAATTAAAATTTTTGTACATGCGAAGGCTATGCCCCTTCATTTGATATCCCATTTTGTAATTCAATGAACGATGAAAATCTGTTTACTTTTTATTAAGTGGTAACCTATTTTTATTTAGATAAAATAAAAATCAGAAATAATTGTTTTTTGAGGAGTAATTAAATAAAAGTAAAAAAATAACTGTTAAAGAGCGATTTTTTAAATAAAATTTGTAACTGTGACGGTCCCTGGTGAAATGTAAAGATTTTTGGTATTTAAGAGCGCAGCAATAGCTTGCCTATCTTGCAAGCTGTAAAAGCTTGCCGCAAGGATTTTACTTTAATTTCATTGCCTTGTAAAAATGTGGGCTTCAGTAATGCAGTACGTACCTCTGTTTTGACTACCATGTCAGCCCGATCATTCCTTAAAATTCCTTTGTGTACCGGCGCCAAATAAATGGCGACTAGTCTATTAACGCAAAATTCATCTATGCTATTCCTATTCCTATATTCAATTCCAAGATTTTTTCTAAATAAAAAAAGTTTGCCAAGAAGTGCGCAAATAGCCAGTGTCGCTGAGCTTAATATGCCCAAAGTATGTAAACAAAAACTGATTTTTTTACATAATTTTTTTCTTTATTGTACGCTTTTTATTTAGTTTTCTAGAATTTCCAATACGACTACCCTTGTACGGATCCTAACCCCTCCTTCGTGTACGGCGATTACGACGACCTGCACGACGCCTTCTACCACCGCGGCGTCGACGACGACGACGGGCACGCGCCTCTACATCGTTGCCATCTTCAGCATTAGCCTGTTCACTCTCTGCACCTTCAGCGTTATTTTGTGCATCGTCTCTCAAAACTTGTGGATTGTTATAGGAATCTTCATTAGCCTCATCGGTTCCATCTACTTCATGATGATTATCATCATCATCATCGTTATCGTTATCGTTATCGTCATCATCATCATCGTTATTGCCACCTTGCTTCGTGTAGCTCAAACGATTGTTGGTGTTGTGTTGAGTTTCTCTTCTAGCTGCAATTTCATCGCGGGTCAACACGCGTTGAATGCGTTGAATTTTTACAGCTGAGGTATCCTCGAAATGTTGCGCCAAGCAGAGGATCGCTAAGAGTGCCGCCAGGAAGTATGCAAACTTTGAAGACATATCTACTAGTATTGGACCAGAGCGGCTGCCTGCGTTGTTCGTTGATCGATATTCTGTGCTTATGATGCCGCAATCGAGCTTTTGTTTAGCTTTTATAGCTGAGTCGCAAGTACTTGTAGCCAAGTGTTTTACACCAGCACTTGGACAAATAAAGGTGTGTACGACTAGGCACGTGTTTGAAAGGTAAGGTAGAAATGGCAGAAGAAACAGTTGCAGTCTATTACAAATACCCAATTTCCTAACATACTACATATGGCACTAACTTAAGAACATTTTCACAGTTTTTACTATGAGTTTGAGCAAGACTGTAGTTATGAACTTATTTCATCATCGCCAATAATTTGTCGATTTCAACCGCCTTTTTAAAAACCTTGAAAAATTGGTATAAAACCAAAACACATTTATCGTATCCATTATTACTCGATTATTCTTCGCCTCGAGTAAAATAAAAAGGCGATTTGATAATGTTTCTGAAAATATTAATTTTTATCTTCGTGGCGAACCTTTGCAGTCCTTCCGATTCGTTGGGTTTGCGCAGAGTTTGTAATTTGTTTGGGCACTGCACAACTACAACCCCTAGGCCATCGACTTACACAATAACACTTAGTCCAACATCGCCGTCGACGACGAGTCCAACGTACTCGCCACCACCACCGTCGTCATTGACAAGTCCTACCTCGCCAACGTCACCAACCTCACCAACGTCAACAACGTCGCCAACAACACCGACAACAACGAATGCAACAACTCGTAGTTTTGATGAGGACACTGGCGCCAGAGCTAGGCGTCCACGTTTGCGAAATCGTGTGAATCGACGAGGAAGGCGAGGAAGAAGGCGTAGAAGAGGTTAATGCTAAGACAAATGATTGACGGTTAAAAACATGAAAGTAATAAAAGAAAATTTGTGATTGCGTTAAATCTTTAGTTTTATCAGACTCTTAGGTATGGTGTGTAAATATTGTTAAGCGATGAGAAGCCATAAGACTGTATTGATTTATTTGATCATTTAATTTTTTTTGCGCAATTCATTGTGGCTTTTATATAGCTTCTAAGCTAGCAAAGTTAGATTAGGATGCGTTAGAGTGATTGCCACCACGCAGAGCACGGAGTCACACATAATCTGATAAGCAAGATGGCTGAGCGATTCTCTTATTAGTAACTATCTTTTATGATAGCCAGGCAGTTTTTAAAGCAATTAATTGTAATAAATCTGCATCGAAGATTACCATGTAATGTAAACGCGCTCTAAATGAGCTGGCAAGGTATTACGTCACTAATGTTTTATTGGTGCCAGGCCATAACGAAATACCAGGCAAATTCTTTGCAGAAGAGCTAGTAAGGATAGGAGCCTTGCTGTTGGCAATAAGTACAGCTCATAATGCGCGCATTCCGCTATCTTCCTGCATACTCTGGCTGGATAATCACTTTAGCGAACGGACAAATATAAGATGGTCTGCGTACGTGCAGGATAGCAATACATATCTGGCCTAAACTGGATAAGTGTAGATCTCGCCCTCTCCTGCTCATGGAGCGACCACTGCTCCGGCATGTATTTGGAGTTCTCACTGTGCACTGCCCGATAGGAACCTACGCTGCTAGTATGGGTTTGCAGTCAAACGACTACTAAATACTTATGTCATTGTCCCGCTTTGGCTAGGGCTCTTCGACGGTCATTTCTCCATTATTCTTTTGAATGTCTGGCTTAACTGAATTCAGCCAGTATCTACGACTTTGTGCACTTTAACAGAGCTACGAAGTGGTTCTATTTCTAAGGTAAGAGAATGGGCATGAGGAGTCTCTAATATGGCATCACAACAGGCCATGGTGGCCTAAGTGTGCCCTTTTCCTGTGCGGGATGAGGGAAGCCAAGATAATCTAACCTAACCTAGCCTGAGAAAAGAGTGGTCCAACCGGGTGATGCCCACGGACCGCTTTACATAAATTTTTAGGCAAATTTTTCTGATGGTATATTAGGTATTTTCCACAGCCCTCCTGGCCTTTACCTCCTCGATAAGTTTAGCTTTTAGCCTGCGTTTGCAGAAGGCCAGAGGTGTGCCCGCATTTTGGGCAGAATTGATTTCGGATATTTCCGTCCCTGTATTTTCCATCTCGCAGGCTATGCAGTTGCCAGGAATGTGCCTGTATCCGTGGATCCATGAAACACTGAAGGAACAATTTAATGCCAGTAGGTTTAGGATCTTTCTGCATTTTCTGGACTTTGAACGCTGTTCCATTAGTTTTTATAGCCGCCTAGCTGTCAGAATAAATAGCTAAAGGCCATCCTGGTAAAGCGGATGTTATGAGCCATGGAGCGGCCTCTATTATGGCGTTTAACTTAGCCTGAAAAGCGCTACTATCGTCAGGTAAGCGGAAAACAAGGTTTAGCGCGAGTTCAGCATTTATATATATCGCCATTGATCCTGGGTCTAAGTCTGTGGCATCTAAGTAAGCAAACAAAGCTCGAAATAGGTACTGCGTAGCGGAATAAAGTGCGACCTAGAAGCCGAAGCTGATTACCTCACGTGATCTTAGGATTTTAGTGTTAAGATTCCCAATGTTAACGTTGGGTTTCAAAGCAGTAAAGCTGAAAGTAATACCACTGATTTATGTTCCATTAAGAAGGATTAAAGAATACTTCACAGCCGTGACCATTCGGGATGACTTCTATATCTCAAGATCTTTATGGCCGAGACTAAATAACAGTTGTAGTGATGCCAAAGAAATCTGCAGTAAGGGCTCTTACCTACGTTATCACAGGGCGTACACCAACAAGCTGCCTCTGCAAAAGTTGTCGTGATGATAAAGAAAAGGAAACAATTCACTACTACTCAACTCTCCCGACAAGACATCTCCAGTATTTGGGATCAAGCCTTTTCAATAGTTTTGGGGCGATAGCGTCTGTGAAATTATCGGAGCTATACTCACAATATAAAGTAAATTCGCTCAGATGGATGTGGCTACACCTGACTCAAGTCCTCCTCTGAGTGTAAATAGTTGAGCTTCAAGCAAACGATGACGCACAGCGTCCAACGTCGAAAACCTACATATAACACTAAACTCGCCAGGGAATTTTTATCAGAATCGGAGCAATTCAAAGACAAATTAATCTATGCAAAAGCTATCCACGTAATGGGTGCTATCGATTGCTTACACTCGAACATGAGAACAACCGTGTGACCATTTCAAATAAGTGTCTGGCGCCGTTCCACCGCATTGTGGACGAGTTTTTGCACCGTTTTGAAACCACCAAGGTAAAAAGAAGCAGATCCTCTCAAGTGAAGCCAAATGACTTTAGACCTAAAAGCCTTACCTTCTTCTTTCTATAAACCGCAGAACATACATATATCCGAGAAGCTACATCCGAGGGGGTGAGCTTTTGATGAGAGGACCGTTAGAATAGACATGCCGCTAGGCGGAACTATCTCCCCGCTCATGTCGAATTTAACAAACCGAAACTTAGAAAAGACCATTAGAAATCCATGGCTGAAAAGGTAGACATCTCATATGAGCGGGCATATTACATTTTGCGCGATGGGTGCTTGCGATCGCCCGCACTCAACCTGAAGACCAACCGTGTGACCATTTCAAGGAAGTAATTGGCGAAGTTCTACCAAACTGCGGACGAGTTTTTGTGCCATGGATATATTAGAGACGAAGGTAGAGTCAAGGCACCAAATAAAGCCTAGATAAATTTGTCCGCCAACAAGGTGCTGGAGTCTCCAGCCTTAATTAACAGCATGCTTATCAGCTTTCAGTAATATAATCTTAATACAAGTAAAGTGGCTTTTGAAAATTGAATGCGCAATATTGGTACAATATATTTTACCGTTAACTATAACCTTTTCCGACTTTTGATAGCAGATTGCTGAACTATGGGGAAAAGAAAATATCAATCCAATTTTTCATGCCTTCAACTGAAGTGAAAAAGCTTACTCCAATAAAGGCGTTCTGCATCGACCGGTAGTCTGATGGTGGAAGAACTGCGCTATAGGGTGGATGGGTTAGGACTTTCCACCCAATACCACTTGTGCGACATGCGGCCGAGCATTGTAATGGTGGAAGCTCAATGACCCATATCTGGTTGCCCATTCCGGTAACCCTATGGATCTTTTGGCCACTTTTTAGAAGCTCATCATAAATGATACCCTTCAGGTCCCTTACCTTTCTGCCATAGATATTTGGTTTTGGCATCGATGGTCCGGGTTCGCCTTCTGGCTCCTTGGATTGTCGTAATGAATAAATTTTTCATCGCCGGTGACAATCCAATGCATAAACTACTTCGCTTTATACTATTGAAGGAGCATTTCGGCAACAGTGACAAGCTGTTCGTGAATTTCTTCCTTTTAGTTCGTGAGGCACCCAGTTTCCGACTTTCTGGATCTATGTGACAAAATCTAGACCAAGCCACAAATTGGAGAAGAAGCTCGGCCAAAAACTAACACATGTGTAAGCGCCAATCTATTTTTACTAGAAGAAATTCAACTCGGTTATTATTTTGGAGACCGAATCGATTTATAGCCTACCTGCCATACAAAGAAAAGAAGCTAAATTAAAAAAAAAAAAAACATTAGCATTCGTTTTACTACTTCATTTATATTTATTTTGTTAGGAAATTGTAAATTGTGCAATAGAATATCGAGCTACAAAGCAAAGATAAATAAAATAATAAAAGAATAAAAGAAAATGGGCCAAAAGCCACATAGTATGATATGATATCCATACATACATATATATGAACGATAACACATTTGTGCAAACATTTGCTTCATTCCCCCTCAGATATTGTCTTACTTATTTACAATATTTTTTCTTTGGTATAAAAGGCGATACTTTTTGGGTTATCAGCATTAAAATCATTTCTAACTTCCAACAGTGCAGTTAAAATGGCGATCAAACTGCTATTGCTAGCTGTTGCATTGTTGACCTGCCTTTCGCAGGGTGAAGCTATAAACTTCAAGAAATTATTCAATCTACAAGCAACACCGGCACCATCACCATCT